TCCTCCTGATCTATTCCTCCTCCTCCTCCTCTACTCCTCCCCCTCCCCTCCTCCTCCTCTCCTCCTACTCCCTTCCCCCTCCTCCCCCTCCTCCTCCCCTCCTTCTCCAGATGCACCAGCCTGCAGGCCACAGCCTCTGGAGCGGCTGCCTCCTCCCAAAAGGCCTGGCCCTGGGCTGCAGGCTCCTGGCCCCAGGATCCTGGGTGGAATGGCCCCTGGCGGCTGCAGCTGCACCCTGGACCCCAAAGCCCGTGCTCCACGCCAGCTCTGGCTGCGTGTCCAGGCCCCAGCCGGCCAAGGTGGGGTCACTCGAGGCCCAGTGCTCCAGAGTCTGCCTCCCCTGACTGGTAGAGACGAGGCGGACAGAGGTGATGGACGGGAGGGCAGAATGTGGAGCACTGACCTGCACTAACAACTACTTCAACAGACACACCAGCACCACTGACCCCCAACACCATGACTGCTCGCTCAGCCTTGGCCATCTGTGTCTGAGGACTGGGCCCACACAGAGGTGGGCAATCAGTCACCCCTGGACTTACCAAAGGGACAGATGGGAAATAATCTGTCTCTACAACACTCTCCACCTCCAGGGCCGGGCAGCTCACCAGCAACCCCGGGCCCCGGCCCCTGCATCTGCCCAGGGCTGCAGCAGGCCCACCCGCAGCACTAGCTGCCCGTCGGTGTGTAAGATGCATGCATGTGGCTGTACAACCCAGAGCAGCAGAGCGCAGGTTCAAGACCAGCTCCCACACCCACACTCCAGCCTTCACTGGCTCTGTGGCCCAGGGCAAGCTGTCAACTTCTCTGGGTTATCATTTCTTCCTCTTAAAACTAGGAGCCAGGGCTGGAAAGGTGGCTCAGTGGCGGAGCGCTTGCCTTGCATGCCTGAGGCCCTGGGTTCGATTCCTCAGCACCACATAAAGAAAAAAGCCAGAAGTGGCGCTGTAGCTCAAGTGGTAGAGCGCTCGCCTTGAGCTGAAGAGCTGAGGGACAGCGCCCAGGCCCAGAGTTCAGACCCCACGACCGGACCCAAAAAAAAAAAAAACTAGGATCCACAGCCGGGTATTTACACCTATAATCCCAGCACATGGGAGGCGAAAGCAGGAAAATCTGGAGTTGTAGGCCAGATGGGCTGCCTACATTCTGTCTGGGAAAAAAAAAAGAACAGAAAAGAAACGCTGTTCCTGTCTCACAGGGCACACCAAATACTCACAAGCTGCTTAGATCAGGTGTGGCTCGTACAGAAATCGGGGCCACGAACCCCTCCCGGCAGGCTCTGAGAACCCAGCTCCCCTTTAAATTCAGCACCAAGCCTTCTTTCTTTGTGTGTATGTTCCAGTCTTACTTAGGTTTTTGCTCCAGGCTGGCACTCTACCACTTAAGCCATGCCTCCATTGGTAGTATGTTGCTGGTTGTCAGAGCGGAGAGTCTCACACACTTTCCTGCCCAGGCTGGCTTCCAATGAGGATCCTCAAATCTCAGCTAGGGTTACAGATGTGAGACACCGGCGCTCAGCTTTCCATTCCTCTTGTTCCTCAAGTTGAAGGTCCCAAGCTGGCCAAACGCATCCCAACAGCTGAGGTAGACATCCCTGTTCTCCGCAGCCTGAATCTGCCTCAGCTGGACTCATCACGTCGGTGTTTACAACAGCAAACACATGACGACAACAGGGGCTGGGAAGGTGGCTCAGTGGTAGAGCGCCTGCCTTGCATGCATGAGGCCATGGGTTCGATTCCTCAGCACCACATAAGCAGAAAAAGCTGGAAGTGGCGCTGTGGCTCAAGTGGTAGAGCGCTGGCCTTGAGCTGAAGAGCTGAGGGACAGCGCCCAGGCCCAGAGTTCAGGCCCCACAACTGATTTTTTTTTAAATGAATACAAGGGCAGAATGTTTACAAGTTACACCGCTTGCCTGCAATTTGTTTTTCTGCCCACCTTCGATTTTTTGGTTACTGCTACTTGTCTCCCACTTTTTTCAGTGGTTCCCTTTTTCTTTTCCTTTAAAATGTTGGAAAGAATGAATTGACTTAAAGAAAATACTGATTAAGTAATAGTGGGACTGGGCGCCGGTGGCTCACGCCTGTCATCCTAACTACTCAGGAGGCTGAGACCTGAGGATCGCAGTTCAAAGCCAGCCCAGACAGGAAAGTCTGTGAGACTCTTATCTCTAATTAACTACTCAGAAGTGGTGCTGTAGCTCAAGTGGTAGAGTGCTCACCTTGAGCTGAAGAGCTGAAGGACAGCGCCCAGAGCCAGAGTTCAAGCTCCACAATCGACCAAAAAAGGAGGAGGAGGAGGAGGAGGAGGAGGA